TGACGGGCGAGGAGTCGTGGGGGGGGGGGGCCGAGCGTGTGGGCTCTCGCTTACTTACCATTGGGGCCCTGCTGCCACCCAAGGATGGGTGGCGGGTTGAGAGATCAGCCAGGGAAGGCTCGCCAAAGGGTAGCCTTTGCCCTATTAAACCGTTGTTAATAAACAATAGTCACGTGCGGTGAAGTCAATTTGGAGTTATGGCGACCCTTCCCAGGGGCTTCCAAGTAGAGAATACACTCCGAAGTGGTTTGCCGTCCTCTTCCTTTTTGGGGGGGGGGCATCCTGGGATGGTGCAGCTTGCCCAAGGCTACATAGGTTGGCTCCGCCCAAGGGAATCCAACTCTCAGACTCTTGGCCGAAACCTCTCAACTCTCCAGACAGCCTATCCATTAAACATCATAGGCCTTCAAGTCAATTCTGACTTGCTGTAACCCCTTTCCAGGGTTTGCCAGATAGAGAAGACACAGAAATGATTCCCTTCTTCCAGGGGTATTCTGGGACTGTGCAGCTTGCCCAAAGCTACATAGGTTGGCTGGGAGGCACAGTGGGGATTCAAATTCCGAACCCCTGGCTCTGCAGCCAGATACCTAAACCACTGAGCTGTCCAGCCAGCTATTGTCCTGTTAAGACAATGATAATTCTGGATATTAGTGTACGTACATATTCCAGATAGGGATATCCATACAGTATCTATATTCCATTCCTAAGGAGATTGTTGAGAAAACATTTTGAAGACAGCCAATAAAACTTAAAGAAATTAAAATTCAGAATCCATATTAATGTATGGCCCTTGTTAAACGACCCAAACATGCAACACTTATACTATTTTTTGTGTGCCCTTTTTCTTGTCCTAACAAAAGTATTACACGGATTTTGGATCTCAGCACACATTATAACTTATAAATTAATTTTGTTTTTCTGGAATAATGGAAAAGATTTTAAATAAGAATTTAACAAATAAAGTGACAGAAGTTAATAATTTATGTGTTATTCCCCAGAAGGACATGTTTCAATGAACTAGAATAGAATTTTTTCCTCATAATTATCAGTACAGTATTTGTTTTCAAGATATTTGTAACTATACAATGAGAGCACACACGCATACACGAGTGCTCACCACCTTTTGAGATAATTGGTCCCATTGCCGTACTGCTCTAACAGTTAAGAAGTTTTTCCTGCTATTCAGCCTAACTCTGTCTTTCTATAACCTGAGCCCATTATTAGGTGCCCTGCACTCTGGGATGATTGAGAATAGGCCCTGTCTCTCCTCTGTATGACTACCTTTTAGGTATTTGAAAAGTGCTATCATATCTCCCCGCAATCTTCTTTTCTCAAGGTTAAACATGCCCAATTCTTTCAGTCGTTTCTCATAGGGCTTGGTTTCCAGTTCCCCTGGTCATCTTTTTTGCCCTTCTCTGAACTCTTTCCAGTTTGTTGGCGTCCTACTTAAAATGTGGTGTCCAGAACTGGACACAGTAATCTTGATTGATTGATTGATTGATGGATTGATTACACTGATTAGTGGTAAACAATTCTCTGGGCAGTTTGCATCCAGAGTGAATAAAAATAAAGTCAAATCACAAGTATAATGACTAATACAACATATAATTAATAAAACAATTGTTTAATAAATCTATTGATGAGGCCTAACCAGTACCAAATAGAGGTGGACTTAGTACCTCTCAGGATTTGGAGACAATACTTAGCCTAAAATAGCATTTGTCTTTTTGCAGCCACATTATTCCTGTCTCTTCATCAAGAGCATGCTTCTCACTTGCCGAACCTTTGAATTTGTAGGCCTTATGAGGTTGTGTACAAAATGTTAATACATAATCTGAAAGCTATTCTAAACCAGAGCATTTCCTGGTGAGAAAATATTTTAAATTCATTTATTGCTTTTAATTTGAGTAGATTAAAGTGCAACATCGTTTCTCTGAGGACTACCAGAACTTTTCTCACCTCTATGGTTGTGTGCAATGTTTATTACTCAAACAGGGAAGAGCCAAAAAATCTGTGATTCGGGCAACCTCAGTTTCGTGTATTGATTAATCAAGGAATCTATAATCTTGGAGCCATGTGTGTCCTAAACCTGATTTTAGAAGCCCTCAATTCAGATCAATTCAGACTTCTGGCATCTATGACTTTTCCAGGTCAGAATGCATCCCATTACAATCACAGAATTGTAGAGCTGGAAAGGATTCCAAGATATACAAGTTCACTTCTCTGCCATAGTTGCAAATCGATAGTTGGAAACTCCTGGAAACGGAGTTTACATCTGAGCAGACATGCATCGGATTATGCTGTAACATATTTACACTGCAGTACTATAACCATGATCCGGGAGTCCCATTGAGCTGAATGGAGTTTACTCCCAGGGAGGTGGGTGCTTTTCAAAGTCCAAGAATATATATATTTTCTTCCCAGGACAACCGGCACTGTTCTCTCTATTATGGAAGAAACTGCTGCTATTATCTGAATAGTGTACTTGTGAAGGAATCACTGTTATCACAGCACCTGGAACGTAATGTAAAATAATCCAAATCCTTTTTGGCATGGATAGTACAAACAAGCCATTTTACAAAGACAAAACCACAAAGGATCAGATGAAACCTGGTTGCTAATGTGTCCTGCTAACTTACCCCCTTTTGGCAAGGTTCATGGTTTGACATTATTTTTACAGGATCATTTATTAACAAAGAAAACAAAGGTGGTCCTTGGTACCCTTCACCTTCTGCCACTATCTCTTAGGCACATTTGAACTATTAACCTTTACACATTTGTCTCATGCCCTACTTTGATGGCAATCTATTTGCTTTTTTCTGTATTACTATTTGGTTTTAACCAACGATTTATTTTGGATTTGACATGAGAATACATTTGTTGGCTTGACCAGACAGATGCAAGCTGCACTCCTAGCTTTCATCTACTTACAACAAAGCTTTATGGAATGAAGTAGGACTTGCTGCTGAGTAAATATGTACAGTATATAACCTGTTACAAATGTTACTGCAACAGGCTACAGATTAACATAGCTACTCCTCTGAAAATTCTAATGATTAATATAACAACTAGTCTAGTTAACTGCAAGAGAAACAGGAGGGGATCTTGTGGAATCCTAAAGATTAAGGCTGTGATGTGCTATACATTTAGCTAGAGGCTAGTCCCATAGGGATGTGGTGGCGCTGTGGGCTAAACCGCAGAAGCCTGTGCTGCAGGGTCAGAAGACCAAGCAGTCGTAAGATTGAATCCATGCGACAGAGTGAGCTCCCGTCGCTTGTCCCAGCTCCCGCCAACCTAGCGGTTCGAAAGCATGCAAATGCAAGTGGATAAATAGGGACCACTTCGGTGGGAAGGTAACAGCGTTCCGTGTCTAAGTCACACTGGCCATGTGACCACGGAAGATTATCTTCAGACAAACGCTGGCTCTATGGCTTGGAAGCGGGGATGAGCACCGCCCCCTAGAGTCGTACACGACTGGACAAAAATTGTCAAGGGGGACCTTTACCTTAGTCCCATTAGACATAATAGGGCTTAGAACAGAGTCTATGGCATCTTAGTGTCTAACACATTGTATTTGAAATAAACTTTATTAGACTATAGCCCACTTTTTCAGATACAAGCAGCCTCCAGTGCTCCCTGTGTTTGGTTGCAACTGACTAACAGGACCACACCCTGGAAACGGAGTTTACATCTGAGCAGACATGCATCGGATTATGCTGTAACATATTTACACTGCAGTACTATCATCATGATCCCGAAGTCCCATTGAGCTTAATGGAATTTACTTCCAGGGAGTTGGATGCTTTTCAAAGTGATTGGGTGCAATTTGGCTTGCATTTGAAAAGATACATGTATTTTTGCATGGGGAAGAAGAGAGGGAGAAAGGACCTCCTCAGGTTTTCTAGTCTGTCTTTTACCTAGTCTGACATTTTTCCTGTGCTGTTTAGAGATAAAAGGAGAAATCATGGCTCCTCCTGACATCTCTTAGTTATCTAGAACTAGGACTTGTGTCACCTTTCCTATCTGAAATGTATTTCTGTAATAAGCACAAGTTTTCTTATCTTCTTAGAAGGAAGTGCGGGTGTGATTCCTTTATAAAAGGGAAGTGGGTTCAGGTAATCGCTCAGCGCTCCAAAGGGCTGAATTCACAAGTTAAAGTCCCTCCTGTGCTGCTGTTCTGTTTACTTGCCAGCACCCGAATCCTTTATTGATCTTGCCGACGGTCAGCCTTCCCAGGATAGCAGAATGTATGCTGAGCATGATTTTAATTTATTTTTTTTTTTTGGTTAAAAACATCCCCAGTTTCTCAGGCAAATACAGAATACTGTAAAAGTGAGGCAATAGTGGGAAGCTAAGAGTGATTAAGAGACCTAACGTCACTAGCTATGAGGAAAACAGTTAAGACAAATATTAGTCATGTCTAGAGACTTGATGGAAAGCAGCCATCCTATGTGTTCTTCCTAAACAGACTGTGTTATTTAGCTGAACGGGACTTCTGAATAAACATAATTCAAAGCTCCATTGCCAACTGGATATGGGCACTGCAACAAGCCCACAGAGCCTTTGCCTGCCCTCCCCTCATTAGATTGCAATTTGTAGATCCATGATACCGGTCATGCTGGTGGGGCTCTCTAGATTAAGAGTGAAGACCAAAGTCCAGCTGAAATGCATGCGGGATTTCCTCTTTGCCAATGATGCAGCTATTGTTGCCCACTCTGCTGAAGAGCTCCAACAACTTATGAATTGTTTTAGTAAAGCCTGCCAAGATTTTGGATTAACAATCAGCCTGAATAAAACACAAGTCATGGGCCAGGGCATGGACTGACCTCCCTCTATTACCTTCTTTACACAAGAATTGGAGGTACCTTGACTGAACGATCTCTGACACACTCTCTCTAGATGTCAAGCTGGATAAACGCATTGGCAAAGCAGCTACCATGTTCTCTAGACTCACAAAGAGTATGGCTTAATAAGAAGCTCATGGCATATACCAAGATCCAGGTCTATAGAGCCTGACTGCATTCCTGTACTGCAATGAGTCTCTTTGTGCATGGCAGGAGAGGAAGTTGAATACATTCCATATACATTGTGTCCAGCGCATTTTTGGTATCACCTGGCAGGACAAAGTTCCAAACAGAGTAGTCCTAGAATGAGCTGGAATTTTTAGCATGTATACATTACTGAAAGAGCGACTTGGTTTGGGCATGTCATGAGAATGGCTGACGGTCCGATTCCAAAAGATCTCCTATATGGAGAATTAGTGCAGGGAAAGTGCCCCAGAGGGAGACCACAGCTGCGATACAATGATATCTGCAAGTAGGATGTGAAGGCCTCAGGAATGGACCTCAACAGAGGGAAACCTTGACATCTGAGCATTCAGCCTGGAGGCAGGCGGTGCATCATGGCCTCTCCCATTTTGAAGAGACACTTGATCAGCAGGACGAGGCAAAGATGTAGTCCTGAAACCAGCAAAATCAGGGAGCTGGACAGGAGACAGATTGTATTTGTCTTCAGTGTGGAAGGGATTGTCACTCTCGAATTGGCCTTCTCAGCCACACTAGATGCTGTTCCAAGACCTCTATTCAGAGCACATTACCATAGTCTCTCGAGACTGAAGGATGCCTACAGTGTACTTGTGGGGCTTTTGCAGGCTTAAGTTAAAAAACAAGAGGGACAAAGATTTGCTGGCCTTACACATGTAAGACAGGAATGTAGAAGCTAGCTCTGTGTTACGTGTCCATGTAACAAAGTTAGGATTCTATGTGCACATGATCGCAGAAGAGCAGTACCTCAGCACTGTTGAAGACTATAGTCCACAAAGTTTTCTAAGCTCTGAGCACTCTAGTGTGGCTACTACCTAAGTATGCAGTATCTACAGTGGCAATGTATTGGGGCAGCCACAGAACTTTGACAGAGCAGGCCATCAGGACGGTATTGCGCTATACTGTAGTAAGGTGGAGGAAAGTGTCCGCCTATCCATTTTTTTTTGAAGAGGATAATGATTGCTCATTATAACAATTCGCAGTGTCCAAAATGCTTTACCATCCTTTAGTCTACAAACTTTTGCCTGACATAAAACTGGTTTATTAAGAGATTATAAAGTTATTTATTTTTCAGGTGGCCCAACATAACTCACAACCAGTTTTCCTTGGCAACCTTGACCAGATACTTCCTTGCTTTCAACAGTAGTGTAGCATTAGGAGACTATTCACTGGGCCATCTTAAGTGTGTTCAGCTATGCATTTTGTTCATTTTGTCAGGCCAGGAAAAGCTCCCACTCTTGATGTATTTGTTGTAAACCTTTTCATTTTAAAAACAAATGGTAGAATCAACTTTGAGGCTTAAAACCAGCCAGCTGGAGGAGTCAAAAAGTTATGAAGAGACAGAGAGATGCTTGACAAAAATTGCCCTAAATGCTTGAGATGACTTGCTCAGACTAAAGGAAGAGATATTGTTGCATAGAAGCCACCACTGTCTGGAAACTTATTGAGTCAAACGGCAATGAATCAGCCTGTTCTTTATGATGTTTGTTGTGTGCAGCTAGACCTTAAGACTGAAGTCCAAGGCTTAACCCAGGCTCCCACTCCAAATGACCCACCCCGCATGGTGGGTGATGCAAACAAGCCCAGGGACAGCACCTGGCTCAGTGTGGACATATCAGAGCCTTCCAATACTGATGCTGCTTGCAACAACATCCTTTCTTCAAATTTAGGTAAAAGTTGGCTTGCTAGAAATGTGCACTGGAACAGCACTGAACCCATCCACTTCATGAATGCCGATGCTAATCCACTGGTTGAAGTTGGGGGGAAAGTTTCTGCACACATCAGACTTGGACCACTTTTGGTCAAAAATAGTCTGATTGTCTTAACATTTTGATTGGTTGTTGATTCTGCCTATATTTCATGTGTGTCCATGATTTTGAATTGTGCAACACTCTGATACGATGAAAGAACCACTTTTTAAAAATTTTGACGTGGAAAGTATGATTGCATTTCTAAATAATACTTTGACTTTTAAATTATATTACTCTTTTCTACAACAAAACAGTGCTTGGAATTATGTCCAATTCATGATACAGTAATGATGGTGTTACTGATTTAAATTCAAATTGCACGTGCTTGAAGTATTGTTTTTTTTTCTTTTAAAATCAGGGACGGCAAACAGTTTTTTCCCCTGTAACACAGTAGTACTGTTACAAGTGCTAAAGTTATAAACCATGAAGTACTAGGGTAAGAAGAGAAAACATTGGTTGTATGCTTCATTACTGAAGTAATACACTTGGCTGTCAGAAGCTCCTATTCCTCCTGCCTGGCAATTAAGTTCAGTGTTTTAAATTACTTAGCTGCAGCAGTGGTTGTTGTTGTTGCTGCACTGATGGTGTGGATTCTTTCCTCTCTGCGGTTCAGATTAGCAGCTGATTCACCTGGTTGCAGTAGATGGGATTGCAGCGTCTTCCAGAACTGCCTCCATCCTTAGCTGGGCACGAAATTACAGTACGGTAACATCCGCATATGCTTATTTATTAGATTTATTCCTGTTTTTCCTTTTGCATCTATCCAGCACAGGTAGTTTCAAATAACTGATACATACATTGAAGTAGTAAATTCAAAAGCCTATTTTGCCTTGCTCAAGCTACAGTCAGAAGATGATGTGTTCACTTACTAAGGAAAGGAGAAACTCATTTACTATCTGCACTGTATGACAGGTACAAAAGGATCTCTCTCTCTAAGCTGCAATGTGAATGGGCTTATGTGACCTCGATGTACATGTGTTCGATGTACACTAGGTTCCCAGTCCAGTAAAGATGTGCAGAAAATTTCTGCATGCAGATCTCATGCAGAATATAAGAATTTGTCACCTGGTTAATTTAACTCTTAAGTGCTGCCTTTCTTTGCCATGAAAGGCTGTGCACGGTACCTTTAACACATTATTATTTCCACAGGTAAAAGGCCAAAGTTCAATCCAAATCAAGTCAGTAACTATTAAGCAAAAGGCTTCAGAAAGAAAAAGGGAAACTTTTATCCTCTGTTGCCAAAAATGTCCATGTTTGTAGAATAATCATATTATGTTTATTCTATATGAAACCACTGGGACAAAAAGGTGAAAAATGTAGAAAACAGTTTATTCATTTTAAATACAGTAGATGAAAATAAACATTTTCTACAAATAGGCTGACTGCTGCTTGCATGTAAATGCTTACTTATTTTTCAGCTGACAAAAAAACATGTTGAGAAATGCAATACTGAGTCAAGAGAACAAAAATGAGAAATTCCTGGAATCCACACTAACAATGGGCAGTGGATTCCTTCCCCATTCTGTCATGGATAACAACCATCTCCAAGATACAAAAGAATAACCATTAAAATAGCCAAAGAAATACATGACCAATTTATGGAAACAAAAAACCCACCTTTTTGTTGTTGTTAGATTATATAAACATTTTCTACAAATAGGCTGACTGCTGCTTGCATGTAAATGCTTACTTATTTTTCAGCAGACAACAAAACATGTTGAGAAATGCAATACTGAGTCAAGAGAACAAAAATGAGAAATTCCTGGAATCCACACTAACATTGGGCAGTGGATTCCTTCCCCATTCTGTCATGGATAACAACCATCTCCAAGATACAAAAGAATAACCATTAAAATAGCCAAAGAAATACATGACCAATTTATGGCAACAAAAAAACCCCCACCTTTTTGTTGTTGTTAGATTAATCACCTCTCACAATCATATAAACGTGGGGCTTGCTAATGCAATTTGACTGATGCTCAGGATTAAGAAAAGAATGTGGAATTAACTTATGGAGTTCAGTAGCATGAAACATGGTGGCAACTAACATCTCAGATGGACTTCTTTTTCAACGGCCACTATTTAAGATAGCTAAATGTAACCTCCATGTACACGTTTCTTTCTATAAAGGCCCAAATGCCAAGGATTTTTCTTGCTGTGTCTGTGTCACTGCACTGGAGGCATCTCATTGATCTGCGCTGAAATCAGATCATAGACTGTGTGGACCCTGGGCTAATACAGCAAACTATATCTTGCATTCTTCAAATTGACCTCTGTTTGCTACAAATGTTCTGGGTCAGAATTCTTATATAAATCAAGAGTGAGAGAAAGGCACTTGGAATCTACGACAAGATCAAGGATGGACAACATCCTGCCTAAGTGCCACATTCCCACCCATCCTGGGAGCTTGAATGTGGGCAGCAACAATCAGGCTCCTCAGCACCAAAAACATGAACCAACATAAAATTTTAATTTTGGAAGAAAAGACCCCAGAAGTTCTCTGAGGGCTTTGGGGCCATTCTGCCATGTTTTAAGCACCTTCCAGCATAGTCGGTCCACTCAAATCCCCATTTAATTTTTAAAATTCACCACTACAGGTCAGGAGTGGGCATTCTGAGCAAATCCTCTTCCCAGTTTTGTGAGAAAAAAACGGGAAGCAGGGATCACAGGAATCACTCTCCAAGGTCCAGGAACAGGCACATATGATTGATCACCAGACTTCTAGAGATGACCCACCATGTGTTAAATCAAGTTTCTAAACTGCAGTGAATTAACATTGTTCTTAAAAGCTTGTAATGGACTAACACTACCACCAGCTAGAAGGTTAAAGGTTTTAATCCCTTCAGAATTAAACTGCTTCAGGAAAAAAAGAAATTGTAGGGGAAGATCAGTAGTAGTTTTTTAATGTGGTATGGCCATAAGGTTGGTACTGGTGCTTGTTACAAATTAGGTAAGCATGAATTTGTAAGCAACCCATCCCCGAATTCACAGCACGTATCTATTTGCCAAAGCCACTGTTTTGCCCTTGGTTTTGGCTGGCAAACCTCAAAGTTATAATTAAAAAAAAAAATCAAAATCCCACAAAATGCATTCTACCCTGCCCTGATATAATCAGTACATATCCCTTCAGAGAGATGATTGGTGTGTGTAAAACAATGTACAGATGGATCTCTCTCCTGTACTGAAAACAGGTGGTTTTAAGCCAAACAGCTCTTTGCCTTTTAGGTTTTAGGCACTGGTTAGTTTATCACATTCCATGGTTTTAGATCTAACGTGGATAAGACTATGGCTTTGATAAAAGGCATATGGTTAAGCCTATGGTCCCCCAACCAACATTTCGATGTCATCAATTACATGAGACGTTCGTGCGTGCGATACTGACACATATATCATCTGCACATGAAAACTTCTACTGAAAGACACAAATGTATTCTTCCTTGATACAGCATGAATAGATTGACTTTTCCCACTGTGCCACACAACTTTAGTTTTTTGTCTCTACTGGCAATCTTAAAAATTAACTAATTATGTATGTGTGTTTGTGAGGAGGCTAGGGGGGTGCTCCACAATACGGTAAGCCTGCCCTCGTGCTACTTGGAAGGCACAAGGGAACTTTCGGAGCAAAATATTAACAGGAAAGACTTAGGAGTTTGTGAAGCCCTGTGGTCTGCACTTTTTTGGCTGTCTCTGGTCTATGCATAGCTTTGTAACACTAGTTACAAACCTCACTACAGTGGTGCCTCGCTATGTGAAAACATTGCTAAACGGAATGTAAAATCCCATTGGAACGCATTAAACATCGTTTAATGCGTTCCAATGGGCCCTAAACTTACAGTTCAGAGAAGTTTCCTCCATAGCGGCAGCCATTTTCGCGCCCTCGGTAAGCGAGGGGAGGGCGCGAAAATGCTGCGCGCGGCCATTTTGGGCGTCCGGTGGCCATTTTAGAACCACGAAACAGCTGATCTGCAGGCATTGCAAAGCGAGGATCGGTAAGCGAAACACTTACCGATTGTCGCTATACGAGTTTTTGCCATAGGGACCGACGCTATGCCTCCGCATTAGGGATCCCAAAAAGGGGATTGCTATGTGGATTCGTCGTTGTACGGTGCGCTCGTTAAGCGAGGCACCACTGTATTTTTAAGGCTTGGCAGAAAATGCCTCTTGGCAGAAAGGTTTTTGCACATTTAAATCTAAAGTCTGGACGCCATTTGTGATGTATTTCTCACAGCGTTAGCATCAAAGCCGGATCTGATCTTCTGAAGTCTCCTCTTCAGGCACGGGAAAAGCAGGATAACTTTACAAGCCAAAACCACAACTGGAAGAATAACTGCTATCATAAATGTAGGGGGTGTATACCACAAAAATTGGCCTACGTCGATCCACTTATTCCATGCAAACACTGCTGCGTGAACGGTGCACAGCAGCAAAGCTAAGTATCCCATCTTGCTCTGGAAAGAAAGCAGCAAAGGAAAGGTTAGCTTTTAAAAAGGAAATTAAAGCAAAACATAAGATGCACCGCCTGACAGAGAGCTGTACTTAGTTTCACCTGACTGTAAAAATATCTCAGTCAGCTCCTATATGTCTAAAGAGCACCTTCACATCACAAATCAGCAGATACAAGGATAAGTGCCATCCTGCTAAGTGCTTCAGATAAAAATGCTATCAAAGTCAAAACTACAATAAACAATTGAAATGTGGTGGCCCTAGCTTTTGTAAAGTACCATGTGTTTAATTAAGACTCTCTGAAATTGTCAGATAGTGTCCAACACAAAAAGACTAATTGGTTTTGTATATACTTCTCTCAATTTGTAAGTCATAAAAACACGTCTGCAACCTGAAATCTGGAATAATGACTCCTTGTTTTTTTGACATAAAAACACGTCTGCAACCTGAAATCTGAAATAATGATTCAACATACACAGACCTGTGCCATCAACGTTCCACAGTGTAGGAATATGGGGCTGTTGGGCTGTACCTTCACCAGCATCTGCTTGTATGACCTGTTTGCCCTGGCAGCTACAATACTGTTCTTGCATGATTCTGTCAAGCAAGAGAATACTACGGAAATTACTTCCGAGTCTTCCAGGACGCAATACCAGCCAACAGACAGCAGTGCTTATTTGTAAGTAGCTCTACCTATGAAAAAGTTTCCACGTGACATTATGTGATGGAACCCTTTTCATTAGACCTGAAGTCACAATCTCCAGGTCTCAATCAATCTGAGTCCTTGGGAAGGAGAAGTTGACCGCACCAGATGCTCTTTGGAAAAAAACTAATGCCCGACCAGTGGAAGCCATCCAGGTACTCAGAGTGGAAGTATTAAAATCACTTCAGTAAGTAATACCAGAAACTGAACTTTCAGATCTGTAACACTTGATGTTCACACCCTGTCAATAAGGCACAGTCCCTCCCCCATGATCTGTCTAGCTTTATTACAGAAACTGAACTTTCAGATCTGTAACACTGGATGTACATATCCTGTCAATAAGGCACAGCCCCTCCCCCATCTGTCTAGCTTTATTTATATGTACCTGAATATAATGAAACTCTCTCCAAGTCAATGAGTGACTGACAGATGGAATTGATGTTACTGCCAATACAGCCAGTATAGCAAGTCCTAGAATTCCCAGAGACACATAAATCTCCATTCTCCAGACATCGTGCTCAATCCAGGCATTCTCCTTTTTCTGCTTCACCTGTGGAAAGAGCACTTTATATTTTTTTTACAACGTCAGAGGGACACTCAGAGGACCCAAATATGCTTAAGATTCAGGGCTAGTTGGCCACATTTCTACGTAGGATGCCATCTCTTCTGTATATGTGGGCTGAAGAGAGAAAAACTCAGTGGAACTAGATGGCATACAGAGAAAATACACTGCCCTTGCCATGATCACAGAGGCACATTTTGTGATTGCTAAGATCCAGGAAAACCTAAGGTTGCTTTTGCATACATCTTCATTTGCACCGAGGGTTTCCTTGCAAGCCAGCCACCGAGGAGCTGGTCAAGTGCTTTCCCCTCCTCAGTCAGGCAGCGTTGCATGATGTGACTGTAAACAATGACAGCAGCATGTGTGGCAGCATTGTGTGTGTCAGGGGATATTTCACACCCAATGTGGTGGGAGAGACTGGTTTTTTACTGTCCCCATGAAAGTGTACATAAGAGGAATAAAAGAAAAAGTCATTTAAAAAAAAAGCAAGTCGGCATGTAGCAACTACCCTACATCTCGTCACTGGACAACTATACTAAAATGATCCAAGATACACTGTGTTGCTTTAGTGTCATTTTCTTATCTGTGTGCACCACAAATTAAACATGGTCACATTCTTGGCAGTTAATCGAGGTATTGTTTATACCAAGGAAAACAAAGGAAAGCCAATTAGGTTGAGAAACATTTACTTCAGCAAAGTTTTGACCTCCAAGGAGGTTCATTCCAATCCCTTTTTAACTTGATTTGCCCAGCAGGACGGCTTATATTTTGCTGACAAAATGAATTCCATCTAAGGCTAAATACAACCTTTGGCAGATTGTAGCACCAGGTAATGCACGAAGAAACAGTATTTTAAGCAGCTAACCAGCAGGCTTTCTTGACAGTTCTCGTCATGTTGCCACGGTAGCTGAGCAGTTCAGGGGTGTGTGTGTGTGTATTTTTTTTAACTGCCCGTTGAATAGATCTGAACACAGAAACAAACTACTATGGTGTCTGTAATGACTAGGGATGTGCCATTTAAGAGGTGGGGGTTGGGTGGGTTGGGTTCTAACTCTTTTGGAGGAAAAAAGCTTTAGAAACTTGAACAGAAAACAGAATTTCAGCCAACACAATCTCGACCATCTGGACAATTGCAGTACTAATATTTTTCCAGAGGGTCTACTTTACACTATTGTGTTTTCGGCTATACTCATTGATTTTTGTAAACTTGGTGGCTTTTGTCTCCAATCATCTAAAGTTAATACATATGAATATATATTGTGACAATGATTTCAATAGGTTAACTGTGTGTATATGTGTGTGTCCATGCAGAGCTTAATCTATTCGTTTTTGTTTTTCAGAAAACTAGCAATCAACTTCTGCAAATAAAAGGGCCAATAATATTTTGACTGAAAAATGTTCTTCTGTAATTTGTTGTACTGATAACTTTATGAAATTTGAAGCTTGGAAATGTGTTAGAATGCATTTCTTTTTAAGTAGTGACATTACCAGTGACCTTACTTTTAAAATATAACATAGATCACAATATTCATATAATAGTCTAAAAACAAAACCATTATTTTTGAGGATCATTTTGAGTGGTTATTGATATTTTTATATTTTTAAGTGTTTCCCCTTCCCAAAACAATAAATAGTAATAAATTTGAAACATGCCAGCTAACATCTTGTTCTGTACATATCCTAGTGGGGAAATGGTATCACTTGCCATGGCAAACTACTGCTAATTAATGAGTCTCTGCTTGGATACTTGGTTGGATGCCTAGCTACCTAACTGGCACACAGTGACAAAGCCAAGCAGGGACATATTAATTAGTGGCAATTAGCTGCTGTGAGTTAAGCCATTTCCCTTGTGCTAGTGTAATTACAGAACAGGATTTTGACCATCACTTTTAAAATAATGAGTAATGGCAATGAGTGAATTTTGAAACCAATAAGTTATTTTTTAAAAACAAGGTCTAAATCTAGTTGTTATCTTCAACTTGAGCAGACTCACTGAACTGTGAATGATAAATCCACATTTATGTAAATGTTATTGATTCAGTGGGTCTTCTTTAACTGGAACTAACTGGATTCAGGGAATGTTGCATATTGTAATGATCTTCTATCATGATTCCCCTGCCCAGTCATCTTTCTTCCCTGCCCTTCTCCTTCTCCCCTTATTTGGAAGAAAACCTCACAGAAATTAATAGGGCTACTTTTGCATACTATCATTATTTTTATACTATCTATCTAAACAATTTACACAGGGTACAACATTCCAGGTGCAGGCGCACCATCAGCTGACGACAATTTAACAACATTATAATAAAAGCCAAATAGTGTACCTGCTGATATGCCCAGTTCAAGAGTTTGTATCTGTAAGATCTCCTCATGGGATAGCACAAGCTGTAGCAGGCATGCATTGAGGCAAAGAAGAAGCTGAGAAGGCCAAACTGTTTCCTTGATAACATCCATCTATCCAGCCACTGTGGAAAACGTCTATATTTGGTTCTGTAATAGAACTGGAAAGCTGCAGCCAATATTCCCGGTAAATAAACCAAGGCCAAAAGGGTAATTGAAACTACAGGTAAGACTTTGTTTATGACCAGAATTGGAATTTTATGAAATACATTTTCTTGGGCAGTTACAAGAGGATGAATGACATCTCTGAGGAAAGTGTACATAAAAGTTAACACTGATAGTATCAGCGCCGTCTTCACTGGTAAATGCCATCTAGGAAAAAGGTCATGTTTACAGTGCTTACTGGTAGGTGATTCAAACTCATCTATATAGAAGTCTCGATGAATATGGGAAAAACTAGCTGCTTCAGGTGTGCCAGCTGCTTGTAAATCCATAACCTGAAATGAAAACAACAGCCATGGAATATAAACCTAAGAAGGATTTCAAAGTATGGTACATACCAGTATAAGTAGACCCTTTCATTGTTGCCCTTTGTAAACCTGCTTATACACACTCCATGCAAAGCAATTCTAGCCTGTTCATGTACTTCTAAATTTCAGGAATTTGGCTACATTGAGGGGATTGAAGGGAGGGATTTAAAGTTACATGCCAGGTGCCCTTTTTGCTCCTGATCTGAGCTATCAGGAAGTTAGCCATCTGTCCAGATTACTGTGTTTCAACACGCCTTTTGTGAAATGAGATGAAACGTAAAAGAAGCAGGGAAACAAAACGGTTCACACAACCTATGAATAAGCCTGGAATGGAATCTCTCTGCTTCCTAACACTCACTGTTCAGAAAAGGCATGGAAATCCCATTTTTATCTTCTGGACAACTGTTTGAATTGCGATGTGGAGGCTGACATGGTAACAAAGTGAGAGATAGGGTTGCTGCATCTATACAGCTAGGAGAAAAAAAGCTATGTCTATTCAAATTCTTTCTGGTACAAATTGATTAACGACAAACTTTACACTACTAAAAATCACTTCTAATTTCTTTACATCTTTCATAGGAGCATCAATAACTGTTGCACCTCGTGAGAGCTGAGTACTTTTTCTTCTTTAAAAAAACATGACAAATCTTGGACAAACAATATTTATATACCGGTATGCTATTTATTAATCATTTTTATATCTCATGTTTTCTCCAATGAGTGTTGGGCAGCATTTATGACTCCTTCACACTATTCTCTTCAGTGATCTCATGAGGTAGGTCAGCAGTGACTGGCCTGTGGTCACCAAGTGGACTTCTGTCTCACCGAGACCTAGAACATGGGTCTTCACAGCCTTAGTTCAGCAGTCTCAGCTATAATGCCATGCTACAGTAATTTTCCCAAGGGCCCAAAGTACATGCCATTGTGTTTCTTCAGGGGCCTCACTGACTATGAGAGACAAGATATAGAACCCACCTGGTGAAAACACTGTAATCTTAATAGCTCAGAGATCCAAACATATTGAGCGAGGGCGTGAGGTACTATGTACCATGTGATAGGTCAGGATAGGGAAACGTCAGGCATATTGGATAGATTTTTTTACAAACTAGAACCTTGTGACCCCCTAACAAAAGCCAGATGCAAAAGATGGACTTGGAAATTAAAAAGAACAACCTGGCATCTACACCAAACAAACAAACAGATAAATGATACTGTATATGAAGTTTACCAAATCACTGAAATTCTGACAAGTTCTTTCAGGATCCATTTTCTGATCTCCACCCTGGTCCATGTTTTTGAGCAATGACTGTTTTTCCTTCTCTGGTAAGATGATCCTTGAAAGACAATTTGAGGAGGCTTTTCAGATTTTTGCTGTCACACATGAATGGTATTCTGGAAACACATAAATAACCAAATGCATCACTTTACTTGGTAGATCATTCACACAAAGACAGAAGGACACATTTTTTTATATTGTAAGCCGCCTAGAGTGGACGAGTCGCCCAGATAGGTGCGGTATCAATCAATCAATCAATCAATCAATCAATCAATCAATCAATCAATCAATCAATCAATCAATCAATCAATCAGTCAAATAAATAAATAAATAAATAAATAAATAAATAAATAAATAAATAAATAAATAAATAAATAAATTATGAGGCTAATTGTAGAAATGATTGTTATGGAACCAGAATATATGGCACACCTAACATCTCCAAAATTGGGAGCATCCTTATCTTGCTCTTGATTCTTAATTTCCCCTAACTACTATATTTTCAAGCAAGCATGAGAGTCCAAAGTGTACCTTTTTAATGAAGTGTGAAGCAAACAAGATTCTAGAAGGTATCCTCATGTTATACAGTGAGCACCTTCAGATATTATAAGCCAGAATTCTGTACTATGGTTAAAAATTCCCAATAAAAATGCCTTGAAAGAGGGAGAATCCTGGCTTGTTACAAACGTGTCAGTGTGCAAGTGCACACAGCACAACTACTGCCACTACCCACAGTTTCTTTATCATGAAGTGTGAATCAGGTAAGCTGGCTTGTCTCTCTCCCAACAAGCCAAAGAAATAAGCCATGGTTTGTTGCTGGTTTGCTTCTCTGGCTTGTCAGGAGAAAGACAAAACAGCTCACCAGATTTGGACATCGAAAGGAATAACCTACAAGCAGATGGTCCATAGTTTGTTGAGTCATTGCCAACTACAGCAGGAGCAACTGAGTAGCATTCAGCAGTAACTACTCATAAAAGATAAGCAAAGGTTCCCACAGAACGACAGGTTACCTACCTGTAATTGTAGTTCTTCGAGTGGACCTCTGTGATTCACACTCTGGGTGATCTGTGCCTGCACGGAGCCTCATCGGAAAGTTCTAGAGCTTCTGTGGTAGCAAAAAATACATTAGAATAAGCCCCTCCCCCCTCATATAAGTACCTTGGCTCCAAGGCTCCCCTTTCAGTTGTGTCAACCACAGCTACATTAAGCAGAATGGCATGACAGTGGGGAGGACGGGCGGGATGTGTGAATCACAGAGGTCCACTCGAACAACTACAATTACAGGTGTGTGATCTGTTGTTCCTCTTCGTGGCCTCTGTGACTCACACCCTGGGTGACTAAAAAGCTATCTTACTTGCCAAGGTAGAGGCTAGAGCAGCACATCCAAAGGCCGCATCAGACTTCTGCTGGAGATCAAGTCTATAATGCTGGATGAAAGTGGACGGCTGAGGCGCAGATGTCTGGAAGAGGTACGCAGCGTAAGAAATGTCATAGAGGTTGCCACTGCTCTTGTGGAGTGAGGACAAATCACCTTCGGGACTGGTTTGCATGCCAGCAAATCCACGAGGTGAATGGTTGAAGTGACCCATCTAGATATAGTTTGAGATGTCACTTGGCAACCTTTAGTAGGTGGTTGGTGACTTATGAAAAATCAAGGTGAATGCTTGAAAGGTTGGGTGCCTTGGACGTAAAGGCAAGGGCTTCTCTAAAGTATGGAGGAGTCTTTCTTGAGTTGTGGACGGTGACAAGAAGAAGGAAGGAAGGATAAATGGCTGAGAGAGATGGAATTGAGATATGACTTTGGGGAGGAAAGAAACATCCGTGTAAATCAGTTGAAGCTAAAAGCTTGAAAGGAGCTTTAGTAAGTTGTTAAAGTACTAATGTTAGTGACCATTGCGGGGAAGGTCGGCAGGTATCTGGGTAGATATGAGATAGACCTTTAAGAAAACATTTCAATGTTGGATGCTTGAAGAAATCAGCTGCTAGAGAGTTAGGTGGCTGATAAGAAACTATGGCGGAGGGGTAAACTTTCAAGGAAGAGAGGGAAAGGCCGCTAGACTTGAGATGAAGCAAAAAAATGCAGAACAGTAGCGAGTGATGGGTTGGTAGAAGGCAATGAAGAAGCTTCAGTGAAAGATTTGAATCTGTTCCATTTATACAAGTAAGCCTTTCTAGTGCAGGGAATTGGTAGGCTTGTGATCCTAGTTGAAACTGAAGGAATTTTCTGTGGGAGGGATGTATGGAAATATGGAAGTATGCATCTTTGAGATCTATGACAGTGAACCAGTCATTTTTGTGGAGTAAAGGGAGAACTGATTCAATGGTAACCATAAGGAATGTTGTGGTAATGATGAATTTATTTAACTCTTATAGGTCTAAGATAGGGTGAAGACCTCCGCCCTTTTTGGGTAAGAGAAAAAACCTTTGTTGTCTTGTGAGATGGGCTGTATGGAGTCTTTGAGGAGTAAATTTTTTATTTCCTCTTATAGGGTTGGAGATGGTGGAGTGATGACGTGTGTTGCCAGAGGAGGTTGGAGGAGATGGATGCGGTGGCTGTCGCAGATGATGGACAGTACCCAGGCATTTGTAGTGATGGCATCCCAAACAGGTAGGTGTTTCCAGAAGGCAGGATAGGTCAAGTGGTGTTCAATCTCCATCATGGCGAGAATGGAGGACTCCATGCTTGAAGTTCTTACAATGCTGGCAGGAGGACGTCTGGTGTGTCTCTCCCAAGCAAAAAAGACACTTGGTGTGGCCATTCGAGAATGGTATTTTGTTATCACAGACCACACAGTGTTTAAATGGGCCCAAGGGGGCCATGAATAGGAGAAAATAATTTGAAGAGGAAAAAAGATGATTGGGGGTGTGTGTGCTGCGGCCGGAGGCCAAGCGAAGCAGAAAGGAAAAAATCTCTGATGATAATGAATTTGCTCTAGAAGTTTAAAAGAAAAAAAAAAGACTGATAACAGGAAGGAATCAAGAATAAACTCCCTCTTTTACTCACAGAAGCAGAACTACGAGGTTCTCAACGCGATGGTTGAAAGAAACTGAAAGGGGAGCCTTGGTGCCAGGGTACTTATATGAGGGGGGGCTTATTCTAATGTGTTTTTTGCTACCGCAGAAGCTCTAGAACTTTCTAATGAGGCTCTGCACAGGCGCGGATCACCCAGGGTGTGATTCACAGAGGCCACAAAGAAGAACCATCACCATGGCAAGCGGGTAGGCCCAATTGTAGCAGCTCAAGGTTTTCATACAATACTGAATCTTTTTTGCCCCAAACCCCTCTACAAACACCTGAATTATAGCTCCAAAATTTTAGAGTTTTTAAAATACTCTTTAATTTTGTGCCTGAATAATATATGAAAGGCTAAACAAATGCATTTCAGCTGCTAGAATCCTCCTATTTCCCCAAAATTCGAGAAGAATGAAAATATAATAGAACATTTATTGGTTCTACCTATTTAACAAATGTACACACTGGAAAAAAATTAGAATGCCAACATAACACAGAACAGTAAATAAGTATCTATCAGTACAACTGTCAATTCTACTGCAAGTGGCACAGGCAGACCGTATTGAGGTAAATGAGGAAACAACAATATCAAACATATGTTTACAGAAAATATCTGTAAATCAATTTATCTTACATGGATATAATAGAAGGAAAAGACTATTGTGTATCAAGGCTTAGAGAGATCATAAAAATATAATTGCCAAAGTTTCCTATTCAGCAGGGAATGTGTTTTGTAAAACAAACCCAGACTGCTTAAACAAGCAATAATTTAACAGACTTTTCACTGAAATGTTGACATTGTGGTCTTGCCTCACTCTCTGCAGATGCTGAGAGGCAAAAACATGTTGTTATGAATAAAGCCCATTTATAATGGAAACAGTTGACTCTGCTCATGAGAGAGATGGCCCTCAGCCAACATTGGCAGTGTACTAAAAACATATTTCCTTGGTGACCGCTGCTTCATCTTGATCCACAGATGGGGATGCTAGAAGTGAACCTATTAAGAGATGCTGGCCCAGCTCTTCCTATGTATTTATTCTGGGATCTCAAAGTATTACCCAGAAGACAAAAGTAATATAGTTCCTATCTAGGTATTTTCCACTGGAATCTTATTGTCCTTGTGGCTCAAGTAATTTACAGCCCATGATAGATATGTTTTTTTAGTGGTTCCAAGATTTAGGACCCCATATATTTTTACTCACTGCTCTGGCTAGGGCTTCTGGAAGTTGTAGTCCAAGAACATCTGAGGCACAAAGTGTGGGAATTATTCTATCACTACAGTGTAAATTTTATGATGGTGTTAGGAAAGAATTATGTCTTTATTGTTTAAGCTTTCTAGTAGAGATGTTTTCAATGGCCAGAATTCTCTTAATGAAGTATACTGGTGTAAGTGCAGTGGCATAAACAGCAGGAGCAAATTGCTGCTGGTTAAAGAGTTGTTGCTTGTACTCCTTACTGCATGCACACCAGTCATGTGGCTTGATATCTGACAAGGAACACACACATCAGCTCCCTAATTAAGAGGAGCTTGATGCTGTGATTTATGCTGCTGCATTTATTCTGGCATAGGTAAGCAGCCAGATTCTGCCTTGTCAGGCAAAAACCAAAGACAAAAACTTGATGGCACCTTAAGGATTCTACCTTATTGTTGAGCTTGCCTCAAGTTGCAAAGTTCTTAGCTGCACAGGTTGCAAAGTTCTCTTGTGTTTCCGTTATGCTGGTCTATAAGGGGCAGTGAGGGAAGCATTCTAGAGAACATGGCAAGCAAGAGAGCAATAGCAAGAAGTTTGAGGAAAGAGTGCAGTGGAAACAGGAGACAGTTGTGAGTCCAACTACCTTCTGTACGTAATAAAGGGAAAGGGAGACATCTTCTCCTGTCTCTGAGGCAGCAAAATATCTTGGACTAGCCTTCATTAGATAGATAGATAGATCGATCGATCGATCGATCGATCGATCTATCTATCTATCTATCTATCTATCTATCTATCTATCTATCTATCTATCTATCTATCTATCTATCTATCTATCTATCTATCTATCTATCTTTATATTTTTATTTTTATTTTTATTTATTTAATTTATATGCTGCCCACACTACCCAAAGGTCTCTGGGCGGCTTACATTTAAAATACAATAAAATTTAGAACAATTAAAATACAATTAAAATATATATAAAAATTGCCATCGGACCCACAGCTAATATTATTTCAATTAAACTTCTGTTTTAGACTGTTAAGGTGTTTGGTCTGTATATCTCTCTCTGTGTTATTCTAGTCATTGAATGAAATAAACAGATACATGAATAAAAGACACAGGGTGTCAATCACTCTGATACTGACATTGCTGATAAAAAAATATTTTAAAGTCTACAGCCGCAAACAGATGTGACACAGCCAATGGTACAGAACCTGAAGACCAGGACAAGTTGAAAGCTTTAAAAAGGGAAGGAGAGGGGACCCGGGAAACTACAGGCCGGTTAGCTCCCTGTTCCAGGGAAGATGGTGGAAAGCCTCACCCAAGATAAACTCTTAAAACACACAGAAGAACAAGCTTTGCTGACGGAAAACCAGCATGGCTTCTGTAAGGGTAAGTCTTGCCTCACAAACCTTTTAGAATTCTTTGAAAAGGTCAACAGGCATGCGGATGCAGGCGAACTAGTGCATATTGTCTCTCAGGATTTTCAGAAGATGTTTGACACGGTCCCTCACCAAAGGCTGCTGAGAAAACTCCACAGTCAAGGGATAAGAGGGCAGGTCCTCTTATGGATTGAGAATTGGTTGAGAACCAGGAAGCAGAGAGTATGTGTCAATGGACAATTTTCACAATGGAGAGAGGTGACAAGTGGTGTGCCCCAGGGATCTGTCCTGGGACCGGTGCTTTTCAACCTGTTCATAAATGACCCAGAGACAGAGATAAGCAGTGAGGTGGCCAAGTTTGCAGATGACACAAAACTTTTCCAGGTGGTGAAGACCAGAAGGAATTGTGAAGAGCTCCAGAAGGATCTCTTCAAACTGGGAGAATAGGCAGCAAAATGGCAAATGTGTTTCAATATAAGAAAGTGTTAAGTAATGCACATTGGGGCAAAATTTCAAAACTTTAGTTATCAGCTGATGGGTTCTGAGCTGTCTGTGACTGATCAGGAAAGAGTTCTTGGTGTGCTGGTGGACAGCTCGATGTAAGTGTCAACCTAGTGTGCGGCAGCAGTGAAGGCCAATTCCATGCTAGGTATCATAAAAAGGGGAATGAAAATAAAACAGCCAACATTATAATGCATTGTACAAAATGCTGGTAAGGCCAGCGTGTTGTTAGTCTGTGGAACTTTACCCAGCGTGTTCTTAGTCTGTGGGACTCCTTGCCACAGGATGTGGTGATGGCATCTGGCCTAGATGCCTTTAAAAGGGGATTGGACAGATTCCTGGAGGAAAAGTCCATCGGAGGTTACAAGCAATGATGGGGATGTATAATCTCCAGGCTTAAAAGGACAGTACCGCCAGATGCAGGGGAGGGGGATCAGGAGACAGGTCTCTAGTTGTCTCGTGTGCTCTGAGAGGCATCTGGTGGGGCCACTGTGAAATACAAGAAGGTGGACTAGATGGGCCCTTGGCCTGATCCAGCTGGGCTCTGCTTATGTTCTTATGTAAAGCTAGCATTTTCTCCAGGTTTGTTGTTATGTGTCATCAAGTTGGAGCTGACTTAAAGTGACCCTACTAGGCCTTTCAAGGTAAGTGACTGGTTTTACCAGTTCCACTCCCCCAGTGAGCTTCCATGGCTGAGCGGGGATTTGAACCCTGGTCTCCAGAATCCTAGTCCATCACGCTATCCACTACACTACATTGTGTATCTCCAACTTCTTTTAGTGAGCTAATAAAAGTGTCAAACCACGCACCCTTTGCTTTTGAATTGGTAGGGAATAAGCTCCAGTGAACAGAATAGGGCTTACTTCTAAGTAAACATACAAAGGATAGAACACTTACACAATCTTATCCTTGTTTATCTGAATGCAGCTCTGTACCACTCAGACTAAAGAGCCATAGGAGTAGGCTGTTGGCACACCTTCCAGCTATAAAAAGACTTGAGAATTTGTAGAGTGCAGTAAATGTCACTGTTTTTATTATTTTTAATTATGGAAAGCAAAGCCAGCTGAAACAATTAAACTGTTACAGGACATGCTCCTAATGATCCACTGAAAGGCATCTCACCTTGCCGTCGGTAAAAATAAACTCAAAGCCTGTGAGCATTGGTTGTCATATCCCACGTAATTACATGCACAGGTACAAATTCAGTGTCTGTCCTGCCCAGATGAACAAGAAAACCAGTTTCCCTTGAAGGCTGCGATCAACTGCCCTGTGCAAGACAACTTCTGAATAAACATGCATATGGTCAGGCTACAGAAACAACCTCCAGTGAGGCCTCACCTAAACCTAACACTTGGGAAGATGAGTGATAACACAAGTTCCCGCACCCACCCACCTTCACAAATGAAATAGGTTTTAAGGGGAAACCTGGGTCTACTCTGTTCCCCCTGTAGACTGGATTTGCCCCACTGTCTTGTCTTCCCAGCTGGGAGAGGTGGGCTGGGGGGGGGGAAGTAAGGCTCCCTTCTCGACTTCCCTTTGCTTGGTTGAGTTGGCGTCACCTATGGTCTATACAAGTTCCTTCCCTAAATCCTCTGTATCTGACATGCGCGGGGTGGACAGGGGAGATGGAGCTTTCTCTGTGGTGATGCAAAGACAAGGGAGTACTGTACTCTGTCAAAAGATATCTGCTCATATGCATTTCTCTGACTGACACCGGCGTTGTCCTAGTCTGGGTACTGCTGCCTTACCTCCATTTTCATAACATCACTGTATTGTCTTGATTTTCTTTTATGTGCTCAGCTGCTTCAGATTTGTTGTGTACAAAAGCAGACACGTAAATACATGAAAAATGATCCCGAAAACAAGCTGATCAAGATAACGCTGCAGATTCTGCTGTTCTATGTGAAACAGTAAGATGTTCTACATGGATGCCAAGTGTCTTGATATCCGACTGCTGAACGCTGGTTCTTGTGACCAACCCCTTGCTCCTTTACAGATACAAGATACTAGAATCGGTCTTCTTTCTTTTCTTTGCACCTACTTTGCACCCTTCTTTTGATCCAGTCTTCAGCCACATTCTCCCTGCGGTTTCAACCTTTCCCTATAAAGTGTGGGATCTATCGGCAAGCCCTCTCTTCTCTGCTGTTCCCTCCATGCTGATGCAGCAAAATGCCGCTCCTGGCAATCAGAGAGATTTGTCTGGAGATAAATCTGGCTTTAAACCTATGCCAATACATACAGTGTGGAATAACAGATGCATACTGTCACCACAAATATTTAATCCTTCAGTAACCGATACAGAACTATGCAGGTAAGTTTGGCCACTGGCTAGAGGATTCTTGGAGTCCAAATGATGTCACCCTTCCATGCTCGACCATCAGGCACAAGAAGGAGGCACCAAGAGCTGTTGGAAACTCCCAAGTTTGCTAAAAAAAAATTTTTTTTTTAAATGAGTGGGCATGAAAATCACTACAAAAAACTTGGTGTCTGCTGAGGATAATGGTTTGGGGAATGAGCAGTGATGGAACAGGGTCCTGCAAACAGGCATGGCTGGCTGGAACCCCAAGCAGAAAACACCCCACTGCAGGCTTTTGTGGGAAAGCTGTATTTCCCAATTTCGATCTTTTCCAGTTTCGGGGTCCTTACAGAAGGGCACGTTTCGCCCTCATGATCCCCACCATCCCTTCCTACGCCCTCCTTGAACGCAACAGGCTCTTCCACAGAAAAACCCTCCCGCAGATTTAAAGTCTTCAAAAACCGACATTGCAGAAGTTTTTCTGGTCTGGACCGCCTCGCGCTTTTGGCCCAGACGTCCTAACCCCCTCCCCTCCCCCTCCTCCCGGTCTGCTGTAAACTTTCTTTCTCTAGAGGCAAGCAATTCCCGTCACGGGTTCTAGCCCCACCGCCACTTTATGGCTCTCCGGATGTTTATTTATTTGCTTTTAAAGTTCGTTTTCCAGGCGAGGGGGAAAAACAAACCAGGAGGGCACTGAAAATGAGAACTGGCAGTGCCTTGAAAAAGCGAGGCTGCCGGCTCCTCTGCACGTCTGGGGCCGTCCTAAGAGACGAGGTGAGGGGGCGAAAATCAATTCGCAGCCTCCTCCTGAGCGCCCATCCGTAGCTCAGCAAATGTTTGCTTCGGCGACGTGTCCTCCTCCTCCTCGCCTGACTTTCAGGGACGTGCTTGTTCCCATCCGACGTGATCGTCCCAGAAGAGCAAGGAGCGTCCGGCCGTCACGCTGTGAGACATAAGGCTACTTACAGGTCTCCTTCCGGGCAGCTGCCACGCGGTGCCCAAGCGCCCGCGTTCGGACGATCCGACGAGACGCGCGTCTCCCCTCGATTCCCTCCGGGTTTCCCGTTCGGCATGCAGCCGGCCGGCCGGCTCCCCCTCCCGCCCCTTCTAGCCCCGCCTTC